ACTCATGTTCATCTGACTTGACTCCAAAGCTGTGTCTCTGTGTTCATTAGGTGTGCAAATTAACTCACTCTTCTGTTGGGACAAGAGGGGAAACTCTGGCGGCAAATTGAAGCTAATGCAGGGCTAATAAATTGACAGATATGTAGGGGTAGGTTCTGAGGACTGGGTCTGTCAGAAATCCAAGATATTCACTGTGGTTTGTTCAATATTCATCTTTCTCATTCTGTTTCATGAATGGCAGATAGCAGGCAGCACTGCAAATGAGCTAGGTTCTGGGAAGCAGCGAGTTCTACCATTGGCTGGCTGCTTTTGCATATTACTGTAGTAATTTGCAGATTTCAAGACACCTGCCAGTTCCTTTCTCATCTCTAGGCTGGTGCTTCAGTCCTTGCAAAGCCTTTTGGCCCTGGAGAACTTGTATAGAGAGAATGCCCAGAAATCTCTTTAAGAGAAGAGCTCACTTCATTTAAACTCTTTGTCTATGGATAGCATCTCCCTTTGTGGCTAGCAGGGAACTGATAGACCATAGAGAACCTAAAAGGGCTTAAAATCTTATTGGCCTAAATTTCCCAAGGTTGTAGGAAATGACTGAGCTACTTATTCAAGCAGCAGCTCCTAACCTCTTTGACAAGCTGACTTCTCAGTTCTTGATTCTTATTCAGGGGAGAAGAGAGTATTTTAAAACTTTGCTTCCCTACTATTAAAAGGATTATTTAGGTTAAAAGCTGCTCATGGCTGGCGGGCAGTGTGTGTTTGTGTGTGTATGACAAGGGGTTGTTGCCAACTGAGATAAATTCTGTCTCTGTCACGGTGGCATCAAGCAAATGGGCAGCCCTCTCTGTGTGTTTACTATGCTGTCCTGAGCTGGGTTGCTTTGAGTTCTTATTTAAAACAAAGCTAAAAGTGATTAATAATCTAGACAGTGTGAGACAAGCTACAGGAGCTTGCTCAATTTTCTTGAACCTATGTGTTATATTTTGGTATGGAATACTGATGGTGCTGGAGCTCAGAAGAGTTTTTTAGCTTCCAACGTGATATTTGCTTTCTCCATCTTGGATGAGTTACATTATTCAATGACTTGCACAGATTCTGTGTATTTTTGCCATGTCCTTGGAGACTGTGAAATACATACTCAACATGTGATTGTAATTTTAAAACCGCTTAAAGATGTAAATTATTCCTGTTAGTATGTAATTTTGTATTTTACAAAATATAGTAAAAATATCCAACCCTCCCCCAACATTGAGTTTGTGCTTATTGAGCTATGTCTCTTGAGTTCTAGAAAGTGATTTCTACCCTAAAAGTTGAAGGGGACATTTAAAATGGAAAGATCCTGAACATGTTCCCTAGCTTAAGGTGGCAGAGTGAGGTATAAGTGGGTTACATTTTGGTGACCACCTTTCTAGATCAAGCCAGTTTCTTCCTCTCTCGCGTATAAATCTTAAATGGATGGTGGTTTCAGAGAACTTTCACACTTTGGCTTATCCTGACTCGGGATCAATTGAAGCTGTGTTTTGGTTTTCACATTTAATCAGGACTACGTCATTGTGGAACATTAAGTCACACACTTGCTCATTACATTTTAAATTGTTCAAATTTTATTTAGTTCACATTGCACTCAAATGTAGAAAGTGTAGAAAGTCACTATTCATCACACAGTTTATAATTTCAGGAATATTGGCCATTGGTCTTTTTCTGACTCTTACTCACCTTCAGAATTATAGAATCTGCTTCAAATAAGAAAAGGATGTTAGCCCTAGGTTATACCTAATCTCTGTGTGTGGTCATAATGCTGGTTTCTCTTCGTTGGTATGACTAAACCTGCTTATTTTTAAAACAACTTTTAAAACCTCTAGTTACAACTTGGCACAACTGTTATAAAGTAAACCAAACAGTTGTTTAACTAGTTCTTATTTGCACCATATATTACTAATGCTGTGAACTAGCAGTCTAAAAGTTAGGGAACTGATGACAGATATACAGTATAACAGCAGCATCATTCCTAAAATAGACCTGAAAGAAATATTAATTGAGGGGGAACCCCCTTTAAAAAGCTTGCTATTTCTTTGCAGCATATGCTTCTCACCATTAGTTTTGTGCTAATACAGTATTTGACTTTCTTGGTAGGGTTCCTATTTCACATGAACTCCCTCTCTCAGGTATTTAACATGTTTGGCCTAACTGCCTCTGTGTGGACAGCTGTGAAAATGACAAAACTCTTCCATTTTAGGTAGGCACATGGGTTCTTCTATTCCAGTGCTGTCCCAGTGTTTTACCTACACTGTCCACTGAAGGAAACATGGGCCAGAGTAGTGGGCTGGTCCCAGACACCAAGCTTGGGTGGGTGAGCTTCTACACCTTGCTTCAGAGATGAGGCAGCCATCCCTGCTTGCCTGTCCTTTGTATGATCATCTTTGTCTTGGGCAGAAGTCCAAAGCTGGTTGCATTCTGCATGGGGTGTCCTTGGGGTGGGGGCAAATAATATCCGCACAATGCAAGATTGCAGCATTCTTCCTGCATGCCATTCTTTCCGCCATGCATGTAGAACATTGGATGTATGTGAGCTGCATACTTGTATTTCTGGGGTAGGGAGTGAGTGCTTTAAAAATAAACAGGAGCTATTTTAACAAAAGATAAATTTGAAAAATGTCCAGTAGTAACCCATCCTAACTCAAAGTGGCTGCAAATCAGCAACAATAGTCACTGAAATTAGCATATTTTACATCTTTGTAAGGAAAGCACTGCATTAATGCATGATGTAAAGGATTTGAAAAATGTTTTTTTAAAATTAAAATGCAATTTTGTGTGACTGAACCTTCCAGTTTCAGCCACTACACTTGCCAAGAAACAAGCTGGAAAATGGAACTGGTATCAGTCAGTGGCTCCAGATTGTTCCAGAGATTGGCTGGAGGTGGGGTGGGATGTCTCTGAGGGACCATTGCTCAATAGATAAATTTTCTTCTTATCTCTGACTCTGAACAGAAAATTGATCTGTTTTGCTCATGATCCATATTTTGTGGACTCTTAATGCAATGCTAACATTTTCACTTAGCCCAAATATCAGGTTGTGGTTTTATAATGTGCTTTAAGGTACCATATTCTGGCCTGTTCATTGTAATTTAAAAGCACAACATTTGTAGTGATCTTAAATGGTCAAAATAATTATTTTATGCTGCACCAATTCAACTTTAGTCCCAGAAGCCTTCACATCTATAATTAACGGAAGTGTTGACTGTCTTCACTGATTTTTGTAGATAGTGCTGCCAGCTTAATGCCACTACTATTTCGATGGTTACTCTGGGATAAGTTGCCTTTTAAAAAGGCATATACATAGAACTGCAGTCCACAATCAATTTGATTCAGAGTACCTGCTTTCAGGAAAGCAATTGATGAGTGAAGATTTAATTGCCAGCTAATCAAATTCTGTCCAAGAATACGTCTAAGAACTCTGCTTTTAAGAAGCCCTGCTGACTGTTGAGGTCTAAATGAACTTTGGGGCTTTAAATCTCTACTATTAGCTACCCCAGTCCATTTTCTGGCAGAGTTATTTAGCTGCAATTCCTAGGAAATGTTCCCTCCTTTTTTGATGCACAGCTCTTCTGGCATCATCAATCATGCTGCCAATCTTACCTTTTTTTACAGGTATGAGCCCAATAACTCTTAAGGAGGTGGCTTGATCCTGCCACTTTCATCTTCTTAACTTTCAGTTCCTAGCATACTCTGATTTGAAACCTTGCCTGGTTTATTTTTCAAGAAGCCATAAATGGCGATTGGTACCAGTTCCATTTTGTTGCAAGTACTTTTATATTTCATTTCTCATTTAATAATTGATATCTGGAATAACCAGCAGCTCTCTTCTCATTTATTTTCTCATATTTTTATTCCAGGATTTGCCTCTGAAGCAGGGAGTGTCTGCATTAAAAATGACCTGTAGTTCTCTGCTTCATAGGTTAGAAACTTATTTTAATACTTTGTGGCTAAGCAAAGTCCCACGTTTTTCCCAAAAATTTGGATGCTAAATGATTGGCATTGAATGTGGCCTAAAAGCAATATCTTTTGCATTGGGGTTTCTATCATTTTAAATAAATGGTTTAAACATGTATTCCAACTGAGGCAATAAAAGCGCCCTTTTTTGCTTGGAGCCTTGACGTGAATTAAAGGGGAATTTTAAGTCTGATTGCCACATATACAAAAATGAAAGTACCATTTGGACACTTTTCTGAATATCACTGTGTTGCTTAAGGCTTAAATTGCTTGAAGTGTTTGAATTCCAAAAGAAGCCAAATTCTAAAATACTCATTTGGGGGAAAAAATCAGTTCACAAATCACATTATTTCAAAGGGACTGCTATAGCCATCACAGTTGGAATCATGTGCCCTGTATTTACTTCTGAATTGTACACCGCAGATGCTTCTTCAGCTCCCTCCTCTTCCTCCATGGGCGGTGCTTGCAGCTCCTTTGCCACCTCTTCCAGCCCCACCATTTACTCTACCTCAGTCACTGACAGCAAAGCTATGCAAGTGGAGAGCTGCTCCTCAGCCATGGGGGTAAGTAACCGAGGGGTAAGTGACAAGCAGTTAACCAATAACACAGTCCAGCAGCAGCAGCAGCAACAGCAGCAGCAACAGTCCACACCGAAGAGGCACACAGTTCTATACATCTCACCGCCGCCGGAGGACCTGCTGGATAACAGCCGGATGTCCTGCCAGGATGAGGGGTGCGGATTGGAGTCCGAGCAGAGCTGCAGTATGTGGATGGAGGAATCCCCCTCCAACTTCAGTAATATGAGCACCAGTTCCTACAATGATAACACTGAGGTGCCGCGTAAATCACGTAAACGAAACCCGAAGCAAAGGCCGGGAATCAAACGGCGAGATTGTGAAGAATCAACCATGGATATCTTTGATGCTGACAGTGCCAAAGCGCCTCATTATGTCTTATCTCAGCTCAGCACGGACAACAAAAGCAACTTGAAAGCAGGAAATGGGTTGGTATCTGCCTTTATGTTCTATCACCATATATATATATACATATATATATATATATATTTTAAAAACTCAGAAAATTAAAAACGTTACCTTGATTTTTCCCGTAGAGTTCAGCTCAGGTTCTCACTCAGAAATAAAAGAGAGCTGATACTGTGAAGCTAAGTTAAGTGGCTTCATATGTTAAAACACAAGAGAGCACACTTGTAACATTACAAATAAGCCCTAGGCTGATTTAGCAGCCATTGAAATTATCAGTTCTGGAGCAGTCTTCCGTCGCTTCCCTGTAGAACCTAATTCGTGGATGGGAAGTTTATCAGTAAAGCTTTATTTAAAAACATAATCCTCCAAGCTGTGATCAGCTGTTCCATGCCTTTCTCAACTATACCATACAAAGCTGTTTGTGAGGATCTAAGTCTGCACTTCGCCAGCTTCTGTTTCCCTCTCTCCATTAATTAAAGACAGCTGATTTTGATATTATATTAACACTTTACATTAACACTGTTAAGATATGCTGATCCAAATGTGTGTTTCATGTCACTTCTGTATTTGATTTTTCAGAAATAAATCTCCAGTTCTATTTTTCAGTGTGCTTCTCGGATGTGTGCGTATGTGTGTTGTCTGTGATCATGCCTGGGTGGTGGTTTCTCTTTTTCACTTCATGCCCTTCACACCTCTGTTTAGATACAGTGGCTTGGGCCCAAATAATCCGCTGCATGAATGGAAGATATATCTGTTCATATGGATGTGTGTGTGTTTTGCTGGTTTCCTTCCTCTCCATCTGCACCCCTGTATACCTTTAACAAGAGTGTCATGGGATTGATAGTCACCTTCAGGGAGGATGTGGAGTAGCTGCATTTTCTTGAAAAATTAGTTCTGTTTTTTCCTGCCCTTGCACCTACACAGATTCAAAGTGCTTTTTGTGTAAACAGAAGAATCTTTTAACCCAAGTAATTGCCCACTTCATTACAATATTATTTGTTCTTGTGGCCTGTAACCATACAGAGGACTTATTTTACATCCTATATGTTTTTTTATTCTTAGATCTGAGGTTGAGGTGGTGAATATTAAACTGATCATCCAGAAAAACTTCTCATGTGAAAATTTTAATTTGTGTTCCCTGTATTGTTCCAGTTCCATACTTAAAATATTACTATGAAAAATTAAGAGTTGAAAGAAACTCTCTCTCACTCTCGTGTGTGTGTATTGTTGTTGTTTTAAACGCTGCCCAATAATATTTTGGATATATGATTAGATAGACTTTTCTGTGCAACACGAGCTGCTATCTTGTGTTACCAGTTCTCCCCCACAGAGCTGATAAAAGCTCAGAGAACATAATAAGAATCAAAGAAAATGTTCATGCTTATCCTATAGATTCCAAAATTGAAAAGCTTTGTCAGGTTTTTACACCTAATAAGACAGAAAGGCAAGGCTTACAGACCATAAAGTAGTTAGTTTTTTTTTGTAAAGGTCTAATCCTATACCTGTGTAGTGAAACATAAGCCCCATTGAACTCAGTGGAACAACTAGGTATAAATGCATAGGATTGCTGGCTAAAACCCTATACACACCCTTCTGCCATATGTCTGTAGCTTCTATGATATGTAATAAAATAACTCTAGTGTTGGATAACATTAAGAAGCAATCTGGCGGTTGAAGAAATGGTGATTTGGCCACAGGCTACCCAGTGAGCATCACGGCCAAATAAAGGCTTGAACCTGGATTTTCTGTCGGCAGCATAGGGCCCAGTGGACTATTGTACCCAGCCAGTGGATGAATGAATAACGTGCTGGAAATGCAGCCATCACAGAAGGTAAAGGATATGCATTATTGCAATGAGAGCCTCTTGCTTTGGCTATTGAAGGCGTGGTGCTTGACTTCAGAATATCTCTCTCTGATCTCCTTAGAGTGATGTTAAATATTAGATCTTAGTGAGGTGTTGGGAAGTGAGAAGAAAAGGAGAATGTAGCATAGTGTTTGTATGACAAGGGGCCACTTTTAATTTTTCAAGGGGAAAAGGAAGTTTTACACACTTCTCAGGCAGGATCAAATGTTAAAGTTGTATGAGCAGTGAAGAAGAGGAAATTACAAAGTACTGATTCTTGAGCTCTGTTTTATAGCCCCATAGCCTTCCTTAAAAACACATGATACCTCATGAAGTTTGCAAAGTGTTTTTCTCAAACTATATCCTCAGATGCAAGAGTGGCCTAGGTGTCTTTTAGAAAATGTTTTTTTTTACAGCAGCTACTTTTGTTGTAAAATTGCAAAACGTGTGTCTTTTAGTTGTGGAATAGCTAAACACAGTATATACCTTACTTGTCAAATGATAATATTTGAGATACTGTTTTTATTCCATTTGCAAATATGCAAAACAAGTTTGCATTGAGTGGCATAGCAGTGTTCTGAATTTTATGAATCTCTGTATGTAATTGATGGTGGACCAGCTAGAAGGTAGGCCCTTCAAGGGAGCTCAGTGACTAAGATAAGGAGAGGAAACACAGAAAGCAGTAACAGAGTGTTTCTGAATTCTGTGAAGATCTGACATGTCCTTGTACAGTAGGGGTTTCAGACAGTTTCTCCTATGGGTGTTTGTTTGCAAAGCAGCTTGTCACTTGCCCAGGCTGCTGGAGATAGCTATTTAACCGTTCAGCTGTGGATGGCTGCTCTTCAGAAATTTTTGAGGCTCTCCTGGGAGGAGGTGCTGGAATCTTCAACCCATTCTTCTTGAAGAAATTCATCTTGAATGATGTTATCTAGGAGAGCTAAGGATTCTCACATTCCTGGTTTGCTCCCACAGCACTCATGAATGAGTATAGGCAAGAAGGCAGTGGGTACTCTGGCCCATGGCAGAGAAACCCACAATACTATGTGGATTCTCAGCCATTTAGTTGAAGATAGTCCATCCTTGTCATCCATGAGGACCAGCAACTCCCTGCACAAACCAAGCCCAGTGCAGTGTAACAGAAAGCTGAAACAGGATTCCTGTTCTTGAAGCAGAATTCTGGTACAAAATACCTAATACACTTGTCTTTGGACCGTCAGTGTTGTGTTGTTTTTGGTGTCCTCCTTATAGTGTCAAGGGTTAGCAAAATATGGGTTGGCCTTGCTCGTGATTTTTTCCCCAAAATTTTCACAAGCCCAGGTTGGACAGTCCTTCTCTGGGTATCTTGGGATGCCATCAAAATACAGAGTACTTGGGAAGGCTTCTTCAAACACAGTTTAATTAGGGAACTGACAATCCAGTGCAGCTTTTAGGTCAGGCAGCTGCTGGTAAGAGGCTGGTCCCTGCTTGCACGTGTGATCTCTGTTGAAGCAGAGCCAGCAGTTAGAAGAAACCCATCAGTCTGTTTTGTCACCAGGTCGTGCCTGTTAAACCAAACCTCTGAAAGGTCAGGCATAAAGCAGGGGTGAAGCTGCCTTGCCTGTTAGCGTAAAAACTAATGCTTTTGTGTTGGATGCTATACAGAATGGTCATTAGTAGCAGTTAAATGGCATTTTGGTTCTTTCTCAAAAGGGCAGAACATCTCTCTCCAGGGGGCCAAATAGAAAAATACTTATTGGGTTAGCCTGTGAGGAACTACCATAATATTTGAATGTGATAATACCCACATTAATATCATTTTTTCCCCAGCCTGGTGAGGAGTAGACCGCCTTTTTTTCTCTTTTGAATTCAGTAGGTAAATTGCACACAGCCTTAAGCTCTCCCCTTGAAATCATTGGAAGATCCCATGTGGGGTTGAATTTGAACCGCTTCTATATAATGGAAAAATGCAGAGTGAATGTAGTTCAGCAGCCATATTGTCTGGCATATGGCCCAGGTGTCCTTGATACAGAGACTTTTGTCGCAAGCATTATAGTCATTAAAAGATGTTGTATTTTGATAGTTAAAATGAATCCATTATATTTTTGTGACTTTACTGTATAGTCTCATAATTCAGGCTGTGCTTTAAAGGGCAGAGGGTTTAATATCCCATGTATTAAGTGCGAATTCTACTCAGCAGCATGCATATATTTACAGAATTAGCATTTAGAGTAATTCCTGACAGTAAGTGATAATAACTATGTGTTTAAAATGCTCACAAGTAAGAGAAGACTTACAAAGGAAACGCAGCAGGGCAGTTCATGCCAGTTAGCTGGGTTTATGCAGGTGTTGTTGACTCAGCTTCAGTGTAGCTTTGTTTCTACGCTGTGGAGTAAATCAAATTTAAAAGGACTTAGACTTCAAGTTATAATCTTTAATTTCAGAGTGATCTAATTCCTGTGGTGAGGAAGGTTAGTACAAGAACTCATATCTCCTTAGCTGTTTCTTCCCTGCCCGTAATTTGGTCTGTAATTTAGAGGTCGCCCAGGCCTGTGTGTCTCCACTATCTCCTCGTTTTTGAAATGCACTTTCAGTAACATGTTTACTGGTCTGCTTTAACACCTCAGAACATCAGAAGCCTCTAAAACAACTGGAGGGAAGAAGAGCCCTATGTTATGTGGTCAGTACCCGAGCAGAAGCGAAGGCAAGGAACTGAAAATAGTGGTGCAGCCGGAGACTCAGCACAGAGCTCGCTACCTAACCGAGGGCAGTCGGGGCTCAGTGAAAGACAGAACGCAGCAAGGATTCCCCACTGTACAGGTAGGCTGGATTGGGGGCCGGGGGGACGGGAAGAGGAACCTAAATGTGGCTACAATTTGGGAATAAGCAGTCATTCTTCCTGCCCGCCAAGTCCTGAGTCCTGAACAGGAAGACAGATATATTGGTCTCCCAGGCTTCATAGTTTTCCTTGCAGTGGCAAACTGTTGCCTAGTACCATGTGATGTTTTTCAATACTGATCTTGTCAGTCTAAGTTTTGGGTGGTACGAAATTAGAATTTGTATACACAGTCCCATATTTCTCAGAGACGTGGCTATTTTGTTGTTTGGAAAGCAAAGAAGTGGGTGTTTCTTGGCTTAATACAGGGGAGCCTTTGTTACTGTGTGAAGGATGTGTAAATATAGATCAGCAACTGCTCTCAGCTCATAGTGTTCAAGTGAATACACAGAGCACTGTGTATGAGGCAGTTCATCAGAAGCCAGGTAGTATCAATGTTCTCGTGTCCTCCAGTGTCTTCCAAAAAGGTACAAGGGAACACTGCAAGACAGGGCTGAAAAGCACTTCTAGCACTGCAGTGTGCCTAGAAAATGCCATGTGTGGCTTATCCAGTTGAACTCTTGTGATTTTTTTTCACCTTGGATAGTCTCAAAGTACTTACAGGTGTTACACAGACATCATGAGTTTATCTCTACATAGAGTCATCTTAAAAGCAAACATTTAAGTCACAAGGATACACAGTGACTTTTTATGTTGCTCTTTCATAAAAAAGTTTGATGACTGCAGTTCTCAATGTGTGTACACTTCTTTGAGAATATATTAAAAACTGAAATTGTTTGGAAATTGCACAGTGCAGTAGTTCTCTGTAATAATTACCTGTCTTTAACTTGCGTCTCCAAAGTCTGTCTTCCAAGCAGACATCTGGAAATGCCCCCATTTCAGAAGGCCTCTGAAGGCATTTTAGTATATAACAAGGCTAACAAAGTTAAGATGGGGGGGAATCAATTTGATAACTTATAAAAAATTATAATTTACATGCAAAAGAATTCTGATAATTGTTTACAGTACAATTGTTTTGCCAGCAAGAGAAAGCTTTTAACATATTGTCAGGTTTTAACACCAGCTAGTGCTTTAATGTTCAGAAATGTCTTTTCTGTTGTAATGTTTGCAAATTAGCAACGCTGCCCTCTTATTGCAGACTATTATTAACTCTTGCTTTCCTACTCTTTGGTTGCAGCTGGAGGGCCACAATGAGCCTGTGACTTTGCAGATATTTGTTGGGAATGACTCTGGCCGAGTGAAGCCTCATGGATTCTATCAGGCCTGCAGGGTTACGGGGCGAAACACCACAGCCTGCAAAGAGGTTGATATAGAGGGTACAACTGTGATTGAAGTGGGCTTGGACCCAAGCAGCAATATGACCCTGGCGTAAGTAATTGTCTTTGTTTAAACATGGCACTTATGGATTGGATGTGGATGCAGTTTTAAAATCTAGCTTGTGGTGTCTTCTCAGATCAGACATTTGGAAGTGCATGGAGAAAGGGATACATTTGGGGAGTACTGAATGTATTTGTACTGTTTCCTCTATGATGTCCACACTCTTGAACTCTGTGTGGCTTTAGCTGGCCCAAGAGCATCCCATAACTGGGCATGTGTCAGCCTTGAAGTGAATATAGGATCCCCAGTGGAAATTTTTTATGTACAGGGAATACCTTCACATGCAGAGAGATCTGAACGACTGTTCTGAAATAGCTGGTGGCATAAGGGATGTAAGGGAAAAAATAGATTGGCTGGAGTGAGATATGGTTAGCCACAATTGGGATCATTCGCTTTATTTGTACTACTACCTCTGAAGTTGTATTGTAAGTTGGGAGTTGTATTGTAAAAAACATTCTTCCTATCTTTGCAACATGTGGATGTGACTTAACATTTTCATGAATTTGTGTGCTCCTTGTCCCTTCTCTTTTGAGTGTGGGGAGGATTTCAGAAAATAGGGGGTCAGCCATACAAGCTCAGGACGCTGGCTAGTCCCATTCAGAAAAAGAGATGTGCAAATTTCCTCCGCAAGATTTCTCACTCTTGTTTAAACTGGCATGTTATTCTCAAGGAAATATTTTGTAGAGTTTACTATCCTGAATTCATGCTTGTCTTCTGTGCCCTTTTTTTAACAAGTGACGTAGCTATGCTTTCGCATTCTAGAAGCTAGCATGGTGGAGAGTCTCCTTGCATGTAGCGTTTAAAACCAAAAGCTTCATTCTAGGTTGAGCTTTTATGGATTATAATCCATTATTTAAATAAATGGAATATACAGTATTGAAGGTTTATATGCACAATGCTTATAATTATTGGAGTAAAATCAAAGCAAAAGTGACTAATACCCTACTCCACACATTTGAAAAAAAATGGATTATAATCTCATACTGAAATAAAGAATAGCAAATTATCTTGCTAAAATAAATCTGTTGGTATTAAAGGAGCCGCAAGACCCTTTTGTTTTTCCTTTCCTTTTTAAAAAATACATCAAAACAGGTAACATTTTTAGGATTAAATTTTTAAAAACTGGGAAATAGCCCCCACATATTTGGGGCAATGGATTTCTGGTCCAGGAGCTGTAAGAAGAGATAGTGGGCAGAAATATTGCCTTGTCAGTTGACATGGCAGTTTGGAGGCTGCTGTCGAGCTGACTCTGTACTCAGCAGTGGCAAGCCTCAACACAGAGATCAGCTGTGTTCTTTCTAAAAAGCCTTTAACGGAGCTGTGATCTGAAACTAGAAAAGTATTTTATGTTGAGGTGCTCTCTGAGCTGGCTTGGAGATTGTCCCTCTTCCAAAGTGCTGAACAATCGCGCCTTTCAACAAGTATAAATGCTTGGATGAGTGGAAGTTCTGGATAGCTTATGACTCAGTAAATCTCAACTGCTGGAACTGTTAACCTAAGTTTTGACTTCATCCCAAAAAATGAATCAGCTGTTTCATTAAAAGCTTGTTATGGTCTAATAGCAAGATAGGTGCAGCCATTCTTGCTGGGGACCAGATAGCCCTCTAGGGTCCCCTGAGACATTGAAGCGGGCCTCAGACTGGAAATGATTTTTCACACACCAGTTTATGAGGTTCATTATGTGACTGATGCAAAACTGAGGATGTGTTGCCTATAAAGAGGACATGAAGAGGTGAAGGAATAGGCATAGGAAGTGGGGGCCTGAAAATCCAAGAGGCAGGAGGCGGAGGTAGAAGAAAAGATGAAGACCTGGAGCAGTCATGGCTGGCTGTTACTTGCACACACACAAATAAGCACCACCTACTTGCCTGGCACGCAGACTGGGTGATGCTTTTTTGGAACATATGTTTTTTCTGCACCATCCACAGCGATGTGGTGTCCAGCTTGATTCAATTGTGTATAGAGTTGAAAGCTAGCTTTTGTTTGTGTTTGTTTCAGTGGTGCAATTAAGATACCCTTTGGTTGCCATTGACGTGTTTCTGGGGGGCCTAGGATGTTTTCCTGCTTTTTGTATGCTGCCAAGAATTTAAATGGCATTGATGAAGCCAACTCACTGGGATTCCTGTGTTGTTAGGGTGGACTGTGTTGGAATACTGAAGCTGAGGAATGCAGACGTTGAAGCTCGGATAGGCATTGCTGGGTCCAAGAAGAAGAGCACTCGGGCTAGGCTGGTGTTCCGTGTTAATATTCCCCGGAAAGATGGCCCCCCTCTCACCCTGCAGACGCCGTCCTCACCGATTTTGTGCAGTAAGTGGCAAAGTGCAGCTCAGAGATCAGGCCTGCTGGGAAATGCATCACCCTTGTTTTATTGAGGTGTTCTGCATCTCAGTTCTCTCCTGCTACAGAAGTTTGTGCTTTAAAATGTAAATGAGCAGTCCAAATAAACCAGAGATTAAGTGAAAAAATGTGGAGCTTTGAGAATCTTCATATATGATATGTTTTTACGGTCAGAAATAGCAAATGTGAATAAACAGAGCTTTGACAATACATTGGCCCATTAGTTCAGAAGTAAATTCTGTTCTAAAATGGCAATGGGAATGTTTAACTGTTCGTAGATTCATGTCACCTTTCTGTTTTTGTTCGGGGAAAGAAAACATGTTGATGTAATACAGTATGTTGTATTCATGTAGAGGATGTGCATTGTTAGGGCTGCATCACCCAGTCTTCTACCCTCTTGTAAAGGATCCTGACAACCATCTCTGAGATTACACAATGGGGAGCAGCCATTTGTATTAATTCTGCTGCCAGGCCATCGTCTGATAGCAGTTAAAAGCAAATAAGTGTCCCTTTCTTCTTGGCCAAAGATGGAAGAAATATTGCTTATTGGCTGGGACTTCCTTCCACTGGCTGCCAGGCTAGAATAATTTATTTTGGCCTTCAAAAGCGCAGGCCAGTCTGGAGCAAGGATTTCAGGAAGAGATCTGAGTTGTGTACACAGAAGTTCATGTTGTTACAGTAAGAACATGGCATATACCTCTGCAAACAAAAAATATGTCTTTCTGGCCTCATAGAAGGGGCTTTTTGCCAGCTTGAGTCTGCTGCTTTTGTAGAGCGGATTATACTCATTGCCAGCTAGAAGTAAATGCCTTCTGCCCTGAACTGTGTATAGTTGTGCTTAAGAAGCCAATTTTTGGGATGTTGATAAATTATTTTCCTCCAGTGGACTATGAATGGAGGATATTTGTATTTGAAGACTTGCTGAAAAACAAAGCATTATAAATCTTTCATGTTTATATCTACCTGATTGGTATGGACCTTTTTGTGATGCAAAACTTGAAGGTCTCTTTGTAACACAAACAAGTATATATGTGGCAGTTGGTTGATTTGGAAGATTCTATCACTAATCTACTTACAAAATAAAAAATGTATGCCATTTCATTTTAGTCTTGCTTAAAAGGGGACAGATACAATAAACAGCATATTATTCTAGGGTCTGGTTGTGCACCAGCTCCCCAAGAGTTGTGCTGTGTTTTCAAAGATGAAAGAACACACTGGTATTATCTTGAACCTGGAATGTCCTTTGCCTACACATTGAGTTTTACAAGCGGAGTTCTGTTTTCTCATTTCTTGTGCTAGCCAGAAGGCTTGCTCACTGGGAAGACCTTTGAGAATCTTGCCCACTGTATATGTGCTTTCAACTAAGGCATGTTCCCCCCACCCCATGTGTAGCTCAACCAGCAGGTGTGCCAGAGATCCTAAAGAAGAGCCTCCACAGTTGTTCAGTGAAGGGAGAAGATGAGGTCTTTCTGATTGGCAAGAACTTTTTGAAGGGAACAAAAGTGATCTTCCAAGAGAACATGTCAGGTAAGTAGCAAAGTTTGCACACTCAGTGGGAGCAAATGAAGACTGGTCTGGATGGAGTCAGACCAAGGGCTTCTCTGGATGGCAAAGGAGGTCGCTGGTTCACCTGTGTTGACCTCAATAAGATCAAATGAATGTGCCTCAGCTCATGCAGTAACTTCCTTCTCTTTTGCTTTTAAACAGATGAAAATTCTTGGAAGGCAGAAGCGGAAATAGACATGGAGTTGTTTCATCAGGTATTTGCTTTTTTAGCGTGCATGGAAATGCAGCTGTAAAGCCTTAATCATAGTGGTACAGTTCCTAATTGGCTCTTGAAAGCAGTCATAGAGTTTAGGAAAATAATCCTTCCTTTCATAATGTGTTTGGAAGGAAAAACCTGAAGAAGTATACATTTGAAAATCAGATTAAGTGCTGCAGGCATATAATTGGACACTGATGGCATTTGACAAGGATAGCTTTATTTTGGTTTGCAAACTGCCCCCCACCGCAGATCAGTTGCCTTCGTTCTTATTTCACTGTTTTATTGTGATTCCTTTCTACCCTTTCACCTTGAATTGTAGGAGAGTTATTCATTTTGCATCATTTGTAAGCCAGGGAATCCCTTGCCTCTCATACCATGATGGTTGTTGCAGCCTCAAATCATGAAGGTTGCATAAGTGCCATGCATGTTCTGTTGCCCCAGGTTAGTGGTTCCCAACCTTATGTCCCCAGATGTTCTTGGACTAAAACTCCCAGAAGCCTTCCACAGCAGCTGTGCTGCCCAGGAATTTTGGGGAGCAGTAGTCCAAGGACACCTAGGGACCCAGGATTTGGAACCACTGCTCTAGACAATGATGGGGTAAAGGCAGTCTCCCGAACTCTGAGAACCAGTTCAAACAGCCCTCAGTCCTCCTTGCAAGTGTAATCAACTTATTTATTTATTACTAGTTTTATTTATATGCTACATTTCTCCCAACAAGGGACCCAAAACTTCATTTTGCCCTTGTGTTTCTGTATCTCAGCTGCCAGAAATGGCTGTTGTTTTGTAAGTGAGGGGGAAACCTGGAGTGACATCACTGTAAACCTTGCCAGATGGTCTCCACTTTTTTGTTCTAGTTCCCTGTTGATGGTCAACCTGTTTTTCGTGGATGGACTTTTGGGCTTGGGATTCTTAGGGCTGTTCTCACTTCATGTGGGCTGCAGAAGCCTTTTCCGATGTAGTCACAACTAATACAGCAGGGTGGTGTGTGCAGCATTTGGCCTGCTTCTTACTGCGCTCTGAGTGCTCCTTCAGACTGGCCTCTGACTATAGTGTTTCTCCTTCCTCCTTGTTCAAGACTTCCATATAGTGTGACATGGCTTTCCCTGCACCTCTGGGCAGCGTCTTTTGTGATACTCTGAAAAACGTGTAAGATGTACAAAGGAAAGGTTTTCATTTGAGTGTATGCTTTTTAAAATAAAGGTGAAGGTAACTGAGAAAGAGGAAGGGCCTGCTGATTAATTTCCTCTTGTGACACCCTCCCCCCCACGGCTTCAGCTTTGAAGTCAGTCAGATGTCTTAGCCATCTGATGGCTGTGTAGAGTTCTCAGCATAGCCCTCAGGACCATGTTCAGTATGATCTTTACCTGTTATGAATGGATGTTGTACTGTTAATGGTCTGTGCAGAACCCAGTTGGTAAGATCTTTGAACTTCACAGACTTTCTCTCCCCCCCTCCCCCAAATTTAGAATCATCTAATCGTCAAAGTGCCACCATATCATGACCAGCAAATAACTGCACCTGTTTCCGTGGGGATATACGTGGTGACCAACGCCGGGAGATCCCATGACATACAGCCCTTTACCTACACTCCGGACACATGTATGTAAAAAGCAATGGAACTATAAGGGGGATTTGACAAGTCCTTCTGTGCACTCTTCCTTGTGTTCAGTTTCTGAGTCACTGAGTATTCAGAGTATGTTACCATAGTCTCTCAAGGCTGAATGATGCCTAATCTAAGGAAGAGTGAAGGAAGGAGGCAACCCTTCTTGCATTTTTCTCTTGGTACCTTTCATGTCAGAAGAGACTGGTTGCTGCTCTCACAATGTGCAGTCCTATGAAACATGAATGCTAGCAGGGAGGGAGAAGTTTAGAGTTATGCCATATCATGGGTGCATTAAATACACAAATCTGATTTAGAAACCAGCAGTTGGTGTTTATTGACATGTGGGATTTTTTTCCTGAAAATGGGGAGAGACTTCCAAAAAATGTTCCTTCTCACTGTTGTGAAACCCAGTGATATCTTTTGCCTCTGCAGCCAGGACTCTGAATGTGAACGTGAAGCAGGAAGTACCCAGTCCAGCACAACCTTGCTCTTTCGACGATGCAATGAAAGGTATTTATTGATTATTCTAGTTTTAATGTGAACCAGTATATTGATGGTTATATAGTTAGACTAATAAGAGAATCCTTTTCCTTGCAGTGTTTTCGTTGACTCTTTCACATTGGTATTACTTAAATATGATTTCTTTATTTCCACAAGGAACTTAAAACCACAAGGTAGCTAAAGGTCTTCATTTGGGGGGTTAGTTAGGAGGAGGATGGGGAAAAAGAGGCAGTAGTAGCCACAGTGTACCTGCAGAAATGAAAATAGCTCCAGGGGAGATAAATTAGCAAAGCTTTGGATAACAAATTGCCCCCGTACTTTTAGCATAAGCAAATATTGCTTATGCTAAATATGGAAACAACAACATGGGAGGTTTGCCATTAATAAAAAGATCACCATTCAATGGTTATGAGATTAGTTTTTTGACAATGAATTCTTCACTGCAGTTTTGTTTTGTTTTCTCAAAGGCTTTCATGGCTGGGATCTGATGGTTGTTGTGGGTTTTTCGGGTTCTTTGGCTGTGTTCTGGTGGTAGTTCTTCCTGACGTTTCACCAGTCTCTGTGGCCGGCATCTTCAGAGGACTGGAGTAGGAACTCTGTCCATGCTCTTCCATGTTCAGGAAGAACAACCTTCAGAAGACGGCCAAAGAACCTGAAAAACCCACAACAACCATTTGTTTTGTATGTTTGTTTTTAAATACTCATTTGTGCTGCAGAATTTTATGTGATGAAACAAGCTAATTCAGTTTGAAGACCTGCTAAGCTTTGTGGGGTGTTCCAGCGCATCAGGAATAAAGGAATCTGTATTCCAAGTATGGCTGTGACTTAACATTGTCTATACACTAAGTCAGGCAAGGGACTTTCCTACCTGTTGAATCTTGGCGTTTTTGTGTGCAGAGCCTCTGTTTTATCCTTGAGCTCCAATTACTAGCATAGAATTTTGCATTTGGAATATCCCCAGAAATAGGGAATGGTAAACTATTTCTGAGTATTCTCTACCCTAGAGAGTTGAAAGCACAGACTAATTTTACTTATCTTGCTACAGAGTCTTGTGGCAACTTAAAGATCAGTTAATTTACTGTGGCATACTCTTTGTGAGCTAGAGATTTTGTAAGATACATTAGGTGTGTTTGTTCAAGTGAATGCCAGCACATACAAGCTCGTGTTACAATAACATGGTGTTATGTTTTTTAGTATAGTATGTGTTTGATATTTTTTGGTGCTTGTATACTCGTTAGCTTTAATATTGTCTTTTAATGATGTAAACCACCTTTGGGACCTTTCAAGGAGAAAGGCAGGGTAAAAATATTTTAAATAAATAAAAGTGTTCCGCTTATAAATACATCTGCTAATCTTTCTATGGTACAAGACTTCACATATTGCTGTCACATTGCTGTAAAAACTGAGATACCCATTTTAGCTATTCATGGCCCCCAAAGTCAAGCTGCGTAATCAGAATCTGGTCACAGCCTTCCTCTTAACCCCCATTTCTTGGAAAGAGAGAGGTAGTGTCAACCTTGAGTCCTTCTCTTTGTCTGTCTGCCTCTCTCTGATTTGGCCTGTTCAAGCTGAGTCCTGCCCTCCAGTGGCTGTCTTTTAGGAAAGCAGTTAAATTTTGTGTTTATTTGCTTCAGTGAATTCTGCTGGCTGCACCCTGGACAAAGTAAACATTCTTCCCAGTGCCTTGATAACTCCACTCAGGCCGAACAGCATTGTTAAGAGTGAAGAAGTTGCTCCAATGGAGCTGGCAGCTGAAAAAAGATCTCCTTCTGTCTTCAAGGTAAGTAAGTGGGTTGACAGGTACTGTTGTCATGGCTGGAAAAACTTGCACAAGGAAATGTTCCGTCGCCCGTCAGCACCAGAGGCCTAGCCATTTTATTTGATATAGATGTTTTAAACCAAATGAAGTGCATCAGACTGTTTTTGCAGAGTGTGATAGTAATCTCATAAATCAAAAATTGGTTGAGGTGAAATACTTATTTGGGAGGGGGAGGGATACAGTTTTGCATTTAGTGCAAAATAAATAAATGCTGTATTCAGCTGAATTCAGAGTTTTATTTTGACATTAATCTTTACAAGAATACTTACACGTTTTCTAAGCTAAGACCGTTGGCAGCACATGCATCTTCTAAAAGTGAAGGTGCAGAATACTATTAATTTAGCATAAATTTAATGTACCTAAAGGCCTGTTTTCTGGAGAGAGAAAAACCAGACTCATAATTTCTGATTTCAGATTTAACTAGATCTACATCCTTCCAACTGCCTCATTCGATGTATGCCGTGTTTATCCACTGTATCACATCCCTATATATTTCAAAGGCCAGTGTCTCCTTTGCTCTTTCCACTTGTCCATTGCATTAGCAGTGGGATTTTTGCAGAGCCAAAATGTGTGTGTGTGGCTCCAATCAGCTAATTCTGGAGAGGCGCACAGGCCTCCTGTTCCATGCTTCCTGCCTCGGTCTTAGTGACCATAAAGCTGTGTCAGTGAGCAGGTTTACTAACATGTTACAACTGGGTGTGTTTCCCTGCAGACGGCCAATGTAATTGGGCCACCTCAAGCGACGTTGGAGACCAACATGTCCAACATATTGGGGAATGGCAGTTTCTCCTCTTCTCCTTCTCACCTGGCTTCCGAGAACGAGAAGCAACCGCTGCCACCAAAGGCGTTTGCCTCAGAGGCGAGGCCCACCCTCCAGGCCCAAGAGCTTGCCCAGCCCAGCAGCTTCCCATCAGTCTCTGCTCCTAACCAGCTACAGAACAGCGACACCTTGCTGCAGCAGGCGTCCCAGTTCCCCCCAAGGGAGTCCCAGCCCAGGGAGGTGTTGCAGTCGGACGGCACGGTCATGACTTTGACTCAGCTGACCGAGGCGTCCCAGCAGCAGTCCTCGCTTCAAGAATCAGCACAGGCGCTGCAGCAACAGATGTCGTCAAATATTTTCTCCTCCCCCGGAGGCGTGAGCCAGCTTCAGAACACCATCCAACAGCTGCAGGCCGGGAGCTTTCCGCCCAGCCCTGCCAACGGCAGCGGCGGAGGAAATGTAGATTTGGTCCAGCAGGTTCTGGAAGCCCAGCAGCAGCTGTCGTCTGTCCTGTTTTCAGGGTCTGACAGTGAGGATGTTCAGGAGCAGCTCAACGTGGAGATTTTCCAGCAGGTCAGCCAAATCCAAAATGGAGTCAACCAGGGGATGTTTTCCCACTCTGACACGGTACACTCCAGGGCTGAAGATCTTCTCTCAGGCAGAGCCAAGAATGTCCATTCTCAGCCTGACAGCTCTCTGTCCAGCCAGCAGCAGCAGCAACAGCAGCAGCAACAGCAGCAAGCGATGGAGACGTCGGCCGCCATGGTGATTGAGCTCCAGCAATCCCTCTGCCAGGCAGCCAGCCAGATGCAGTCTGACCTGTTTTCAACCTCCTCTTCAGGCAACGGGAACATCCAGCAGTCTCCGGTGTACCCGCAAGCTTCCCACATGATCACCGGGCTGTCAGCCAGTGAGGACATGCAAATGCAGTGTGAGCTCTTCTCTACCTCCAGTGTTTCTGGAAACGAAGCTGCTCATTCACCCCAACAGCAACAGCAACAGCAGCAGCAACAGCAGCAGCAGCAGCAGCAACAACAACAACAACAGCAACAACAGGTGCTTACCAGTGGCACAGCTCTCTTTCAGTCTTCTGGCTCCGCCGAAGGTGACGATGCCTCGGGCCAAGCGAAACAGTTGCGGAGCGATGTCTTTCAGGCCATGGTGCAAATGCAGCACAGTGGGGAAGCTCAGGGGCAGGTGAACCTGTTCTCTTCCTCGGAGAGCATGATGGCCACCGTGCAAAGCAGCGGAGGGCAGCAGCCGGGCGGGAGCCTCTACCAGCAGGCGGGGGAGATGATGTCTCTGCAGTCTGGGAGCTTCTTGCAGCAGGCCCCCCACTCGCAGGCCCAGCTCTTCCACTCGCAGAGCCCTCTCGGAGAGACCCAGACCCTCTCCCAAGAGGCCCCGGGCTCTCTCTTTCACGGCCAGAGCACCACCGCTTCCTCAGAACAGCTGCAGTCCTCCATGTTCCACTCCCAGGCAGCCATGGGGGTGGTCCAGGACCAACAGGCCAACAGCATGTTTCTTTCACAGAGTTCAATGGGCACATCGGTCTCGCAGGAGGAGCCCATGCCATTCTTTACTGGTCAGAATTCCATTTCTCCACTGCAAGCACCAACTGGTGCTGAGCAGCAGTCCTCATTCCGGCAGCAGCAGCAGCAGCAGCAGCAGCAACAACAACAGCAACAACAGCAGCAGCAGCAGCAACAGCAACAACAGGCAGCTCAGCTGTCACACCTCCAGGGCCCTCTGCTTTCCCAAGAACAGCCCCCACCCCCCCAGCAGAGCATGTTCCAGTCACAGGTTCCCTTGGGATCCCTCCCTTCATCGGGGGTGTCCCCAAACCAGCAGGCAGCCATGTACCAGTCCTCTCATTCAATGGTGGCTCTTCAGAACAGTAGCCCTACTCAAGAGCAGCAGCAGCAGCAGAACATGCACTTCAGCAGTCCGAATGCCATGGGTCCAATGACACCCCAGAAGCAGAACATGATGTTCAGCTCCAGCCCCACCTCTCTGGCTAGCCCTGAGCAGCAGCAGCAGCAGCAGCCGCCGCAGGGCCAGTCTCTCTTCCACCCGCAGAACAGCATGGCGCCCATGAATCGGGACCAGCAGCCCATGCAGTTTCAGAGCCAGAGCTCGGGGTCTGGCCAAGCTGAGCCACCGCAGGCGCCACCGACCTTATTCCGCAGCTCCCCGCAGATCCAGCTGGTCCAGGGATCCCCCGGCTCTCAGGAGCAGCCTGTCACCCTCTTCATATCATCCGCTTCCATGTCGGCCCTGCAGAACAGCATGAGCCAGCCAGAGATGGCGCAGCCTTCCCTCTACTCTTCGCAGAACAGCATGTCTGGCCTCCCCGGTGCTTCGCCCCCACCCCAGCAACAGGCACCGCAGTCGGCGGCCATGTTCCACAACACGGCTGGAGGGGGTCCCATTAGCCAGCTGCAGAACGCCTCCGCTTCGTCTCGCCAGACCTCTGGCATCTTCCTCTTTGGCATCCAAGACAGTAAGTTAAAGGCTGCAAAGCCCGGGCTGCGTTGTCGGTCATGACGTTAGATGGCTACCCTTTTGTTCGTTTGTTTGTTTTCTGTTGCCTTTCCTTTCTTCTCACAGGCTACGTCTGTCCAGACCAAACGGTGAAATTAAGTTGAATTACAATGTTCACTCTACTGTATATACCTTGAGGCCATCAGAGTTAGGGCAATAGAGATTTATTTATTTATTTATTGCATAGGCACAGGATTTTACCGGAAGGAAGCATAGGAAATAACAGAAGCCAGCATGTTGCCGGATACCCCTAGTGCTGCTAAGTAGTTGGAATGGCTGCTTTAATATATTCCAGCGGAGAAATCGCTACTCAATATATCTGTGTTTTAAAAATGCAGGAACACCACCACCACCACCCCCAGTTTGTTTCTATTTTCAGTGGCTACTTCCTCAGTCTTGTGACATTTCAACCATGGCTTTGTTCAGTCTCTGAGAAAAGAGAGTGATCTTAACTGTGGCAGAGCTGCAGAAAACCTCTGTGTGAACCTGGGTGCAGGCTGTGGTGGGCAGAGTTCTCTTAGGTAGACAAGCCTAGGAGCTTGTAAAAGGCTGTGTACGGATCAGCCATGGAGAATGGGCTCAGCAGTTTGTCAGCCGTGAGCAGGTGCGGTCCGTGCTTGTGCTTGAATTCATTGCACTGGCTTCTTGAGACAATGACACTCTGACCTTAAACAGCTCGGATGATGTTTTGGTAAGAATGGGAGGTACTTCAGAGGCCTTTTCCGGTGCGACATACAATTCATGCTCAGAAGATTTAGATTTTTATTCTGTGTGGTGTTTGATGAAGGTTGATAAAGGAACTCCCTGAAAGGGCATCCAATCGTTTTTGTTTCTCCCTCAACAGACTGTGGCCAGCTGTTAACCTCTGGACCAGGCTCAATGTCGGAACAGATGATTACCCTAAGCCAGCCACAGACCGAGGCACAGCCATCAGTCACAACTCTCCTGTCCCAACAGATGTCAGAGGGCCCTCAACTGTCTTCGGCTATGAATGCCAACCAGAACATGAAGAAGATCGACGACCTGCTTGTGTCGCTACAGAACCAGGGGAACAACAACATGGGTGGCTCTTTCTAACTCACCAGGTGAGCTGGAGAGGAAAGCAAAAGACCCTTCCTTCCTAGCGGGGTAGGGGTGTTCCCTTTTCTTCTCATTCTACCCATAAGTGGAAGTTGCAGACTGAATAGAAGTCTCCAGGCTAAGGCATTCCTGTAATGAGAATTGTTGCAAAACAAAACCACCCACCACTGTTTCCTGATCTGGAGAATTTACGCAAAAAAGGCAAATTTGCAAACGGTGACTTCTTCACAATTCTGGTTTTTTTCTACCACTGATTGGTGGGATTCTTGCTCTGCCTCCCAAGACTTTAATAGCATATGCTTGTTTGAGTGAATCTCTTTTGTTGTTAGGAACAGCTGCAGAATATAGATTGGCTTCCACAGAACATGTTTGGGTTGGCTAACACAGCAGCATAGCAAGGGGTGCCAAATGCAAAGCAGTCCTCCCAGTTAGCTTCAGTAAGCAGAGCATTGGAAAGCGCCAGACAGAATCAAGCAGAAAAGCTATCATTCTTAAATGTTGTCTCCTTGTTTTTTCTCCTTCTTGCTTTTCCCTTCAGAGATACAGTGATGGCTGAGCAGATTTTCAAGATTCCCTTGACTCTTGTGACTCTGGAACTTAGGATGTAAGGAAGTTAAGTTTCCTCTGTCAAAGAAGGGCCTGGACCTAACATTCACCCTTGCTCTAGAAGAGTATCCCTGCTGAGCTGGAAAGTGGCTTTTGAGTGAGAGCAACAGATAAAGAATCCTTGGAACTGAGAGAGAGGTGGAGGAACTGTGCTTCGTGTTGCCCAAGCCTGGGCTGGACAGTTACACCCCCTCTCTGGCCCTGCTGCGGGAATGCAGAGCAGGGCTGCGTAATCATTGCAACTGAGAAGGAAGAAATGTGGAACTGTCTCCCTCCCTCCCCTCCTCTTTTTCTAGTCTCCACAACCCTTTGATTGGGCTCTTAGGTATACTGAAATGCCCTGTACCCTGAAATCAGTTGGTTATGGTAGACGTAAATGAGTTGGTTTTGCAGATGCCCTGTTCACACCTTTGTGCTCTTCGCATGAGAACTTGTTCCATGATTCGCAGATGATTTCCATTGAAAATTATTTCTCAATGCAATGCGAAATGATGTAAGTGTTCAGTCTTTAGTTGTGAATATCACACATGCAGGTTGTGGCTTGATGCTCTAGTTAGCAGGTAGTGAATATGCAAGTGTGAATTGAGCCTTACTCTTGAATGGAAGCCTTTTCATAGAATGAAGAAAGCTGTGAATTCACACACCTTTGTCGTATAGAGGCAGAAAGTCCCCCATGGGCCTGGCAGGTACAGCTTGAAGGTTTGGGGGAAAAGTAGGCAGACCCAAGAATGTGACTATACCTTCCTTAAGGACCGGGTGTAAATTGGTAGGGCTTCTCCAAGGGGACTTTCCTTAAATCTCTGGAGGTCTGCCAGTCTCAGCTTTCAACAGGAGGATGCTTGGTCTGTCAAAGAGTGACTTGTCTGTGGAGTCTAGCCTTGCTGAGATACTACCTGAATCTCCTTCCTCTTAAATCTCCATCCTGTATATTTCCCTTCTCCTCCAAGTATGCCACTCCCTATAGGTACCTGAACTAGCCAGGAGGCCGGAAGGGCAGTGGCAGGTGATGCACTTGAGGCAGATATTCAGCTCCTCGTCCCATAGCAGAATGAAAAGCTAGGCATCAAGACAGACCAAAATAGGTTCTCCACCTCCTGGGCTGGTAAAGGCAGCTGTCTAGAGCGGGAAGAGCTTGCCAAGTTGTCAAGTCCAAGTTGAATTGATCCGACTGCACCTTGCAGAGCCCATTGTGGTTGGTTAGAAGGGCCCCCCTGGGGTGAAGCTTCGGGGTGGGGAGAGTCTGCAGGCGTGCTCTTTCCTGTTGCTTGCCCTTTTTCTAATTGGTGCTGGTATAAAGTCTTAAGTCAAGACCCAAATGAGGGGTGGGTGGGAGGAGGAGGAACAGAAGCTCCCCACAGGCCTTCTGGCAGGGCTGGAGGATGCCTGGCCTCTCCTTTGAAGGAGGCAGTGGTCCTCTGGCAGAATACCGGTCGGGGCGAGAGTGAATTCACATCCCTGTTGGTGTGAAAGGCGGACGTTTTGCATGCCTTGCGATCGCAGCACCAAGGGGCAAGCTCCCATTTCAGGTGCTTAGTGGGGAGTGCTCTCGGCCACCTCCCACCTCTGGATTTGAGCTTCTTTCTCTCTTTTTCCTGCACAGCCAGAGCTGTCTGTGGTGTCATGTCCGGCACCGAACAGCTTTTGTGTGTAGCTCTCACTGG